TCCGCGCACAGCCCCAGGGCTCGTGGTGAGTGTGGGGTGTGCCTCACGAGGCGAAGAGGCCGCGTGAACTCCCGTAGAAGCTCGCGAAGAGTGCGGATTTGGAGCGCCGCGCCGGACCTCCGCCGGGGCCCGCCGGGGCCATGGGAGAGGTCAGAAATCGTTTTGGGGGGTAGACTACTACAAACCGGTCACGTCCCCGTCCAGTTTAGTCCCTTGGCCAGCCCTGGGCCGCTCGGCACCGCGCGGGGGTGCCGTTAAGCGACCCTACGGATTTGTTGTGGTCGATTTTGGCCAAAAAGCCCAATCGCCATATGTGCCGTCGAAAATTTCTTCTTTTTCGAGCACGGGCAATTATTAGCACGTGTGTCCGCGCCTGACGCCTGTGTCGAGCCTGTCTGACAGAGTTCTTTCTTAAATTCTTTTCCGCCTGCGCTACACTGGGGACCCCAACGCGACCGCCTCGCAGATGGTGAACGAGCGGCAGTCCTCCGTCCCGCTCGGCGGGCCGCCATCGGCGGGGCACCGCCGCGGCTGCACGGCTGTGCACACGGCCTCCGGGACGCCGTACGAGCCGCCGGCCTCCTCTCCGGCCCCTCTGACTGGCGCCGCCGCTCGAAGGAGGCCCTGCGGGCGCTCTCGCCGCAGCATCACCTGCGTGCCGCCACCTGCCCAGCGGACGGCCCCCGTGTACGCCGCGCCGGCGCTCCTCGTCGTGTCGTTCCAGCGGACGCCGTCGAGCGACCATGCGTGGCCGCCCGCCTCGGTCGCCCCGTTGCCCGCGTGGCTGAGGACGTGCAGCACCTCTGGCCGCGTGCCGTCCTCCGAGGCGGGCGCCACCCAGCCCCACGTGTCCTCGACTCGCGAGCTCAGCACGGGCGAGGCTGGCCGGAGGCGGGAGCATGGCCCATCGAAGCGAGCGCACCGCGCGACGCCCACGGCCTGCAGGTCGCCGCCGCGCCCCTTGTAGAGCATCAGCACCGTGCCATTGCGCAGAAGGAGGGGCGTGGCGTTGCTGACATCCTCATAGTCCCAGTCGCCGGCGGCTCGATCGCCCGGCCCGAGCAGGGGCGAATCGCGCCGCGCCCACGGCCCCCAGAGCGAGGCCGACGTGGCGAGCCCGACGCGGCGAGTAGCGCGGTCGCCCGTCCTCGGGTCGACGCGCCGCGTGCAGTTTGGGTGCGTGCCGTCCCGCGGGTCCCAGGTGTTGGCCGAGCCCATGTAGTAGAGCGCCCACAGCCATGCGCCTCCCGACCGGACGCGGTGGATTGTCGGGCCGTGCACGCCGCCCGAGTCCCAGTGCGGCGGCGAGCGGGGAGCCAGCGCCACGCCCGCTCGCTCGTAAGGCCCGAGCGGGTGAGCGGCAGTCAGGTGGACCACCCGCGAGTTGGAGCAGTAATGCAAGACGCCGCAGTCGCCAGTCATCTCCGACGCAAACATGTGGACGGTCGATCCGTCTCGGATGGGCGAGCCGCCCCACGTCCACGAGCGGGAGCGGAACGCTCTCCTCGCGCCGGCGGCAGACCAGCTGACCTGTCCGCAACGCTCGCCGGCCCAGCCGGGGTGGCACTCGCAGCCGCCGGAGACGCAGTCCCCGTTGAAGCCGGCGCAATCGGCCGCGGTGGAGCAGGCGGCAGGCATTTTCCGTCGAGACGGGTCATGGGAGTGGCCAGCAAACAGACACTCGTTCATACCAGCCAGGGTTCCGGCCCCTAGCCAGATAGGGGGTCTGTGCTCTTACCTACCACGCGCGAAAACGCCCTACCTGTCTACCTATCCCCAGGCCGCGCAGCGAAGCGAAAAAAGACGAAAATAGGGGGTACCTACCTATTGCTCTTTGCGGGGCCCTCTGGGGCGGTCAAAACCGGACCTACCTACCTATTGCAGAGGCGCCAGCCGGTGGGAACAGACCCCCTATCTGGCTAGGAGCCGGAACCCAGGAGTCCAGGCTCAGAAAGAATTCAAAAAACGGGATCAGACAGAGAAGGCGAGACGGCGGCGAAGCCGCGGCCGAAGAAGTATAAGAGGGGAAGGCGGGCTCCGCAGCCGACGGCGACGCCTGACCATCAGAAAGCGAACAGGAGGGAGGACCGGGAGGAGAGGGGAGCCCCTTCGGATGGGGGGTAGGGAGATCGGGCGGAGGAGCCCTAAGTGGCGATGTCGGGTGAGAGTGACGTCATGCTCGTGTCTGGTGTTTACTAGCTCCGAGTAGAGGGGGCGTTCCGCAGCTAGGGGACACCCAAAGCGCAGAACCAACCCTCGGAGACCTGTGTTTACCGTTTACGGCCCTTTCCCTGCGAACGCGCACCCCCCCCCGGGCTAGGGCGCTCTAGCCCGTAACCCGATGCCGATCATCCGGCCCGCTGTGGGTGCGCTTCTTAGCTCCCCGGCCCTGGATGTGAGGTTAATGACTGCACTCTAAGTGCTCCAAGTGCCCATGGAGCGTCCGAGAACATCCAGAGAGCCGTGAAAGCACGCCGTGAATCGACGCGCCCTGCCTAGGTGAGGCACACACTGCCCAGGACTACGTGCCTGCCCTTCTCTCCCACCCTGCTGCACGCCACACCGGCGGTCGGCCCTTTCTGGCCACGCCGCCGCGCGCGGCAGGCCGCAGCCCCGCGGCGCTCCGACGCTCGCGGCGCGGCGCGGCGCGCACGGGGCTGCGGCCGCTGCGACGGCGGCTGCGCTGGCGGGACTCACGGAGACTCTGGCCCACACCCTGTACGAGCTAGAGTCACCCGATTCGGCCCGCGGGAGATTGTGTGGGTGTGTTTGGAGATTGATACGTGACGGAGGGGTTATTTTGCGATGGCCGATGCAGGCGGCCGACCTCTCAACCAAGCTCGAGAGGCTTCAGAACCGGGGTATCCGCGATAGATATTGCGCCCTTTCTCCTCAACGGCTATCCCTGCTTCTAGAAGTATGTTTTTCTTTTGCCAGTGGCAGTGCGCGCCAGTCCGCGCCCTTGTCGTGTGTGTGCTGTGAGAGAGGCGGGTCCAGATTCTTTTGCGAGTCCCGTGCCCAAAGAAAGAAAAAAGAAAATGCGCACTCAGGGGGGTTTCTAAAATTCCTGTGTTAGTGCCAGTCAGTGCGCGCCAGTCCCGTGCCTAGTGTAAAGAAAGAAAGAAAACACAGACGTCAAGGGAGGGATGGGCCTAGTAAAGAAATAAATAAAGAAAACGGACTAGGATGGATGGGAGGACGGCACGAACGGATGGAAAAAAAGAAAGAAAACAGACAACCCAAGGGAGGGATGGGAGGACGGCACGCCGCCACCACACAGGGATTTTAAGGAGAGGAGTGTGATGCGCTAGCCGTCACGAACGGATGGAAAGAAAGAAAGAAAGAAAACACACAACCCAAGGGAGGGATGGGAGAACGGCACGCCGCCACCACACAGAACGGATGGGCCTAGTGTTCGTGCTTCACCCTTGGGTTTCTTGCCGTCGTGCCTGGGCACTCCCAGCGGATCTCACCTAAAGTAGCCCCTCTTCGGTGCCTTGTGTCCCGCGGCCCACACGCCTCCCGACCGCTTGCGGCACCGTCGCCGCCGCACTTTTCTGATCAACTACCTCACCCTCCCTTGCGCAGGCCGGTCGGAGGCCGTCTGAGACCTCTGTGCGGACCGCGCGCAGCCCTGAGACCTCTGCGCGCTGTCGAGAGCAGCTTGGCAGGCATGGCCGACGAGACAGCGGCTGATCAGGCGCGCCTCACCCGCTCACAACCCACCACCAGACCCAGCCCGACCTGCACGCCAGCGGAGAGGCGGCTCGGCGCCATGCAGCGCCGGGCAGAGCAACCAGCACCCCATCGTGCGGCGGCGCACGCACGCCGCAGGTGGCTACACTGCCCGAGGCGCTGCTGCTCTGGGCCGAGAGCGACTCCATCCAGCCACCATCTCTGCACTCACATGATCGCTAGTACTCTACGCAGCACACCCACCGACAATGGCGGCTCTGCCGACCCAGGGGCCACGCCGCAGCGCAGCGCTCACCCTCACCGCTGCTGCTCCGGCAGGCGTCTGCCCGGACCTGGGCGCTTCTGCTCCTGCAGACGAAGCTGGCGGGCGAGGTGGCGAGGCACCGCCAATGTGCCGAGGAGCTTCGCCACCTTGCGCGAGAGCAGGTGGCGCGCGAGGTGCGTATTCAGAACCTCGAGCAGCAGCTGGCGCAGGCCGTAGCGGCATGCCGCTATGATGCGCGCAGAGAGAGCCGTGAGATTGCGCGGCGCGTCGCCCCTCTCCTCCTGGGCGACAAGGAACTGCGCCCGTTTCAGCTCGACGCGGCATGCGCGCTCTTTGACGGGCGACATACTTTCGTGCTCCGGAAGGCAGGCGATGGGAAAAGCGTGTGCTATCAGCTTCCCGCGCTCATGCGGCCGCCCACGCCAAAGCCTGCGCCGCCCAAGCTTACCCTCGTCGTGATGCCGCTGGTGGCTCTCGCGTGGGAGCAGGCGGACGAGCTCAATTCGCGCATACCCTACCTCGCCAGCGACGGTTTGCCCCGGAAGGTCGCGCACGTCCTCGACGGCGCGTCGCAGAGCCTCTTTGCCGGCGCGGAGGACGGCCCCGAGCCTTCCCGCGAGGAGCTGATCCGCTCGCTGAGCGGCCAGGCGAGCCTTCCCCGTGGCTCGCCTGAGGATCACCTCCTCGAGCGGCTGCAGGAGACGCTGCCGGGCGGAGACGCTATGAGCACGGTCCTCTTTGTGTCGCCAGAGAAGCTGGTGCGCAGTCGAGCCCTGCACGCTCTGCTCCGCATCGCGTACGAGGAGGGCTGGTGGCGCTGCGTCGCCATCGACGAGGCGCACTGTGTGGACGAGCACGGCCTTGAGTTTCGGCACGACTATCGGCTGCTAGGGGCGCTGACGGTCGTCTTCCCGGAGCTCACGTACATGCTGCTCACCGCCACCGCCTCTCCCGTCACAGTGCAGTCCCTCTGTATCACGCTCGGCATCGAGACGGACCCGGTCGTGGTGCGTGGCACAACACGGCGCGAGCAGACGGCCTACTCCGTCCCCGCCGATGCCCCTCCGGCGGCGGCCGAAGGCGCCGCGCATCCTCGCGGCGCACAATCTCCTCGGAGCCCCAGCGGCGCACCGTCTGCGCGAGGAAGCCGGTGTACCGAAGCGCGGCCATAGGCACGTGCCGCGTCGTCGTCGCGTTGCCCACGCGTATGTGCGCCATCAAGACGAGCCCAGTCTGGCGCGAGCCCCGCAGCAGCAATGACGCGGCCGATACCCCGCGACGCGCCGGCTTGCTCGAGCACGCCGTGGAAGAGCAGCGAGGTGGGGTTGTTTGCGATCGGGTCGCGCACACGCGCGATGCGGAACAGCGAGGCCTGCGCGAAAATCGAACGCAGCACCTTCCTCCGCCACCCGCCGTCGCCCCTCCCATCTTCCGGCGTGACCATGCTGCGCCAAAGCCGGGCCACGACTGGCGCGGCGCGGCTGCACTGCTTGAGGAAGGCGTCACCGTCCAACGTCAGCGACTGGCCATCCACGATCGGACCGACAACGTTGACGTGAACCTCCTGCAGTCGGCGCATGCCCTTGCGGATGCTCGGCGCCGAGAAGGAGCGCAGCCGCCGCTGGGCGGCGTCTTGAGAGCGCTGCAGCAGCGTGAGCTCGGCGCACACGAACGCCATGAGCCCAGCACGTTCCTTAGCAAGGCGATCATACACCTGCGTCATGGTTACGGTCAGGGTGAGGGTGAGGGTCAGGGTGAGGGTCAGGGTCAGGGTCAGGGTCAGGGTCAGGGTCGGTCACGGTCACGGTAAGGGTCGGAATTAGGGTCAGGGTCGGGGTCAGGGTCAGGCGCTCGCCTGCGCGGTCGGCAGCCCGCTCACCAGCTTGCGTGTAGCCTCGTTGAGGACAATCACCACAACATCAAGCATCGTGCTGCTCCTCTCCTCTTCGCGACGCTCTGCGGCGCACTCCTCCATGGACTGCTCGCGGCGCCGCTGTCTCTTCTGCGACGGCGCGGGCGAGTTGCGCGTCGCAATGCGCTTGGTCGGAACGCAAGCACCGAGAGCAGAGCGTCCCCCCCCCGCCGCGAGTCTCGCCGACGCCGCCTGCACGTCGGCGAGTACGTCGTCGGCAGCGGTGGCAATCATCTGGACATCAAGGCCTGCCGTGCGCGAGGTCTCCGCGGTGGACGCGGCGGCGAGCGCCTCGAGCAACGGCAGGAGCCCGTTGGCGACGAGCTCGTTACCAGCAGCATCGAGCATGTCCTTGGCCACATGCTGCGCAGCGGCCACCGTATCAGCAGCAAGCATCTCGTGCAGCACGTTCTGGACCTTTGCCGACGCCTGGCTGCGCCGCTCTCGCCGTGCTGCGGCCTGCGCAGCGTCAGGGCAAAGACGCCACAATCGCGACTGGCGATCCCCCACCCGCGACACGCCTTGGGCCGAGCCGGTGCGCTGCAGCTGCCACAGCTCGTTCAGTGCGGAGTCCACCTCGTCCTCGGAGAGGTCGCCCTCGTACGGCACGTCGCCATTCTCGACTGCGAGCCGCAGCAGCTCAGCAATCCGCTGCGCAGGCAGGTAACCCGCCACGCCGGCCGAGTCATCCCCGCTCTGCTGCTCATCGTCAAATGCGGCGGGGTCGCTCTCGGCCCAGAGCAGCAGCGCCTCGGGCAGTGTAGCCACCTGCGGCGTGCGTGCGCCGCCGCACGATGGGGTGCTGGTTGCTCTGCCCGGCGCTGCATGGCGCCGAGCCGCCTCTCCGCTGGCGTGCAGGTCGGGCTGGGTCTGGTGGTGGGTTGTGAGCGGGTGAGGCGCGCCTGATCAGCCGCTGTCTCGTCGGCCATGCCTGCCAAGCTGCTCTCGACAGCGCGCAGAGGTCTCAGGGCTGCGCGCGGTCCGCACAGAGGTCTCAGACGGCCTCCGACCGGCCTGCGCAAGGGAGGGTGAGGTAGTTGATCAGAAAAGTGCGGCGGCGACGGTGCCGCAAGCATTCGGGAGGCGTGTGGGCCGCGGGACACAAGGCACCGACGAGGGGCTACTTTAGGTGAGATCCGCTGGGAGTCCCAGCTGTGTGCTGGGGCGGGTCCCCAAGGGTGAACGCCCCGGCCAGGGTTGGCAAGCGCCACCGTCCACAAGGCACAGCTCAGCTGCAAACCATAAATGCACTCTCACTCTACCTGGACCCGTCGCCGCCGGCCGCTCTCACAGCGTCCGTCGTCGTTCGTGCTGGTCGGCATCGACTCCGCCAGTAAAAAAGGTGAGGCGGCCGTGCGACGGCTGACGGCTGAAAGTCCACCGAAAGCTGCGTCGCTCATTCGTCACCGTGTCTTGGCGCGGCAGATGATGCCCTTGGCCGTCGCCGCCTTCGCTGCCATCGCCGCCGCCACCGCCGCTGTCCTTCTGCGCGTGCTGGATCCAGCCGTGACCACAGTGCCAATGACCCGAGTGAGCCGTCCAACGGCAATGGAGGTGGAGGAGACGGCAGAGGCGGTGGCAGTGGCGGCGGAGGAGGCGGAGGCTGTGGTGGTGGCGGCTGTTGAGGTGAGGAGGGCTGCTGCGGGAAACGCGTGCGCGGGCTCGCCGCTCGTCGTCTCCCGGCCAGATCTGAACCAGGACTCGGAGGGAGGCCGCTGCGTGCAGAGCGCATCCAACGCGAGCGCCCTCCCCTCCTCGCAAGAGCTGCCTGGTTTAGCCCCAGCCGCTTCGTCTGTGAGGTTTCGCGGCATCTCAGTCAGCACTGCAGCTGCCTCACCCCGGGTCGCATCCCACACAAGCAGCTGTGAGCGGGTCCAGACCAGGCAGGCGGCGCGGCGCGGCGAGGAGGCGGCGGACACGGAATGGGCAGGGGGGGGCATCTCTCGGCGGCCTGCAAGCGTGAGTGGTCACGGCGGCAACGGTGCTGGCAGCGGCGGTGGCGAAGGCGGTGGCGACGGCGACGACGGTGGTCCATACAAGCAGCAGCCTCGTGGGGGTAGTGCTCGCCAGGCCGCCATCGCTGCGGGTGGCGGCGCCGTGGCCGCCGTCCTCGCCACGGCTCTCTCGGCCCAGCGTCGTTCCCTCGCCGTGAGTGCCCGAGATTATCCAAGGATGTCGCTTCCGCCCCACCGACTCTCCTCGCTTCCGCCGCCGCCATCACCGCCGCCGCCATCACCGCCGCCGCCATCACCGCCGCCGTCACCGCCTCCGCCTCCGCCTCAGCCTCCGCCTCAGCCTCAGCCTCAGCCTTCGCCTTCGCCTTCGCCTTCGCCTTCGCCTTCGCCTTCGCCACCGCGACCACCACCGCCGCCACCACCGCCGCCACCACAACTGCTGCCGCCGCCCCCCCCACCGCCGCCGCCACCAATGCCACCGCCGCCGCCAAGAACACCATCGCCGCGAAGGCAAGCGTCACGACGGCCGCTAGCGCCTCCGCCTTCGGCAGCGCTACCGCGCCCGCCACCGCGCCCGCCACCGCGCCCGCCACCGCGCCCACCACCGCCTCCGCCACCGAGTCCGAAGGCGAGAGCATTCTCGGCGCTGCCCGCGCCGCCGGCAGTGCCACCCGGCGAGGAGGGCGTGAGGGGGGTCGTGCGCGGCCGTCCCCGCTCTGGTGCTCGTCCGCCTCCACCTCGCTACGCCGCGGCGCTCGCCAGGATCGCGCCCTAGATGCGGAACGGATCCCACATCGCCCCGTATCTCCCCCATATCTCGAGCCCTAGATGCGGACACGCTCTGTATTCCGACAGACGACACGTACTCGACCAACCGTGCTCCGCTGTATACCCGTAGCCCGTGCACATGCGGTGCTCGGAATGCCGGACGGTGTGCTGCATTCACAACGTATAGGCTCGCGGCCCGCGCCGCGAGCAGAGCTGCGCTGCGCCTCGTCCGCGGGCTGAACCGCAGAGCCTCTCGCCTCCTGTCCGGCGGGGGAGCGGCCAGCCTGCTCGCTCTCGCGGCGGCGGTGGCGCTTCGCGACGCGTGGCGACAGCAACGTCTCGACCTCCTACTCTCCCAGCCGGATTTGGTCGGCAGCGTCGGCCTGCTTGCTGTCGCAGCCTTATCGGCGACGGCGGGGCCGCCGCCTGGCATCGCTACCGCTCTGGCAATGGCTGTGGCCGTGGCCAGCGGCGGGTGGGAGGCTATGCGTGCGCTACTCCGTTCTCTCCCTCGCGACCGTTGAGCACCACTTGTGCATGTGACATGTTGTTGTTAAAAAAAGTTGGTTCTTGACTTCAAAGTCAAATCTCAAAAAACACCATTTAGGCTAGTGCCATTTCACTCTGACACGCTAATCTTGAAAACGTCTCCAACGGAGCTCCGTGTTGCTTCCAGCGCCCTCCCCCGCGCTCCCTGCGGCCATGGCCGATGCTCCTAGAAGGAGAGGTCATCTGGCTACCGCGAGAGCGACCCAACTCGTCGACATCGTCCGATGATGGTGCCGCAAAGTCAGCCTTCGGAGGCTATCGTGGGGTCGAGCCGCCGGCAGTAGCCGTGACATGTGGTTCCACCACCCCTCGTAGGCTTTGCCTCTGACCGCCACCGTTCCCAGGCTGCCTAATGTGGGATGGAAAGGAAGGCTGGGAGAGCGTATATAGAAGCGTGCCCGACCTCGTCGTGGCAACCTGTACGGCAGCGCTGGTAGGCGCGATGAGCGTCGTGCCACCTGACCCGAGACGGGTCGCAGGCGTCGTACCGAGCGCGTCGAGACCGTGTCCTGATGTGATCTGCACGGGTGAGTCACGTCGGCGTCAAAGGAGCGACGTGCGACCTGTCAGAGCTTGATCTCCAATCTCAGCGGCGTCGAGTCGTCTCCGGCGGCGACAATTTTGTCCCTCCCCAAGACGCACAGAGGCAGCTGAGATTGCGCCACCCTCTCTTAAAGCACTGTACACGCGCTTCCCGGATAACGCGGCCGACCTGCTGCGAGATGGCGCGCTGCTGGTCCAGCTGCTCAATCCGGCGGAGGTGAGCACCGTCCTTCACCAACTGTCCACACAGAAGACGGACAAGAAGGCGCCGCGCAGGCTGGATCACTCACAAGGGAACGGGTACGCCGGAGAGTACGCGGATCTGACGAAGCCGCTGCCAGACCTCCTGCAGCGCTGCCAGGACGCGGCGCGGAAATGGCTCATCGACCATGCAGGCCCGCTGTGCGAGGTGAAGAGGAAGGAAACGAGGGGCGGGACGGACGTCACTGTGACCATGTCTGGCAAGGACGCGCTGGACAAGTCCAAGGCCCTGCTGCTGCGGTACGGGTTGGGCGGCATCAACTTCGCGCACCGCGACTCGTGCGGCGACTTCCAGGCCCTGCTCCTCCTCTCGCAGCCGGGCGTCGACTATACGGGTGGCGAATTCTACCTGGCCGACGCCAACCCACCGTTTGAAACGCAGCCCTTCCCCTTTGCCGCCGCGGGCGAACTGCTCCTCTTTCGCGGCCGCCAGGGCCACGGCGCGGTCGAGTGGAAGCACGGCATGCAAGAGGTGAAGGCCGGCAGTGCGAAAGTGACGCGTCGCGTGGCGGTCGGGTTCTTCCAGTAAGTACTTTGCGCGCGCCTGGTGTGAAGTGAAGTTTCTTTGTTTCTTATCAAAGCACGGGCGACACACACACACACACACACACACACACACACACACACACACACACACACACACACACGGGCGAGAGCCTTGGAGCCCTTTGCCAAATTTTTTTGAGCTTAGCCTTCGGTGTTATGAAACAACGCAAGGCGGACATGGCATATCGCTCTCGGGCCCACAGACATCCCGCACACTCGCCGCACACCCGCCGCCCCCGCGCGCGCCCCACCCCGGCCGGGAGAGAGGGGAGTGACAGTTTGGGATGGCAACAGCCCGAGTATGTTGAGTCCTGGCTCAACAACGCAGATAACAAGAGGAGGTGGTCCGGCCCACAGGTCCGGCTCACGCGCCCCGAGCTGACCCTCTACCGCACTGGTCACTTCCGCCCCCTCGCTCCCAACCCATCCACCCCGCCCCGGGCCGCGCCGCGCGATCTCGGGCGATCTCGCGCTATCTTTTTTTGAGCCCGATTTTTTTTATGGTGGTCGCTCGCGGTGATTGACCCAAGCTGCAATGCATCCCGCCAAGGCCGCCGCCGCGCTGGCCTCGAAGCGGCTGCGCACGCTCGTCCTCAACGCAGATTACTCTCCACTCTCCGCCTGCCACCCGGTGCGCGGCGCTCTGCTCCTCCGAGAGAACAAGGCGCACGAGGTGGAGAGCACCGACATCCTGCTTTTCTCGGAGAAGCTCTCCCTCCGCGCGCCCGCCGTGATAGTGCTCACGCAATACCAGTCCATCGGGAAGCCGCGCCGAACCGGCAACTCGACCCGCCCACGTATCCTACAGCGCGACGCATGTGTCTGCCAGTACTGTGGCGGCGTTGCCAGAACGGTTGATCACGTGATTCCGAAGAGCGACGGCGGGAGGGACACGTGGACCAACATGGTTGCCTGCTGCGCCAAGTGCAACGCTAGGAAGGGTGCACTGTCGCTCAAGCAGTCTGGCATGCGCCTGTTGCGAGAGCCTCTCGAGCCGCGGCCAGCGGACATGATGCGGCAAAAGCTGTCTGCGTACAGGCTGCGGCCACACTCGGCGGTCGCCTCTGCATGGGAAAAGTATCTGTGACCGCCACGGAGAGCTGTGACCTGGCTGTGAGACAGAGAGCGCGCGCTCTCAGACTCAGAGACGCTGCTGCAGGGGGAAGTCACAGCTCTGACACCACCCCTGCACCTCTCTGAGGCTCTGACGGGCTGTACCATAATCCATGTGTTGTGTGAAAGAAACTTTACGAGTCTAGGACTACGAGTACCGCGGGTAGCGGAGGCCTCTTCTACCACAGAACAGTACGAGAGAAGC